GGTGATCGTGTCGGAGTTGAGCGCGGCCCCAGCGGGCCCCAGCCAGGGCCCGCAGAAAACCCTCCGCGTGGGCTTCTACGACGTGGAACGTACCCTGGGCAAAGGCAATTTCGCGGTGGTGAAGCTGGCCCGGCATCGAGTCACCAAAACACAGGTGCCCAGGCGACAGGGAGCCGGCGGAGGCCATCGGGGCAGGGCTGGACTGGGCAGATTAGAGCTCGCTGTCATCCTGTAAACGCCGACCGGTTTGGGCTTAGTAAAGAAAAAATAATGTTTTGTGTTATGTTTGTGCATAATTTGTACAAATATTCGGGAATGGCAAAGAAAATAATGACCAAAAATCCCCCAAAGCCAAACAACCGGAGTGCTCTGGTTCCTAGAGTAAGAGCTCAAGCCCTGTAGAGTGAGCTAGTTAGTGACTATTCAAGACATTTATTTCTTTTTGAATCCTTTAAACGATATTTGTGGTTAGTTTGGTTATTTTCCCCCAACTTTCTGTGACCCTTTGGAGACATAAAGAGAGAAATTTAACTTGCAAGAAATGAAATGTGTAAATGAGGATTGTTTTTGTTTAAACCAAACATCCCTTTTCTTTTAAAAATCTCTAGGTTGCAATAAAAATAATTGATAAAACACGATTAGATCCAAGCAATTTGGAGAAAATCTACCGCGAAGTCCAGCTGATGAAGCTTCTCAACCACCCCAATATCATCAGGCTGTACCAGGTGAGGCGGCCTGCCCTGTGCGTGTGAGTGTGTGATCGGTGTGGCACCCCCAGGTCTTCCCTCGCTGCAGGGAACCCCTTCTGTGTGTGTGTGTGGCATCAGCACGCGGGTTGTAGAAGTAAAAAGACTGACTCCCTCGTAGGCTGTGCAGACGTGTTTACAATTATTGTCTTGCTTTTGAGATTCGCTTCATTAAAGTTGTATCTGGTAGCGTAACATGTTCCAGTTTCAAGTTCGCAGTCGGCAGCTTCCCTCTCCCCTGTGCACTCAGTGCAGAAGGGCACATTTGAGCAAAACCAGAAACTTTGCACCTTTTCAGACAGTTATTAAACTTCACCGGCGGCTGCTACCAGTTTTCATTAACATCTTTGCAGAGGCAGCAGTGAACGCTCGTCTTCCCTTTTAACTCTTCCGTGCAGAGGGGAAATAGGGAAATGCCTTGACCACAGGAAGGGCAAGGAGCTGTAGTTCATTTCACACACACACACACACACACACACACACACACACACACACACACACACACCCCCCCGTTCAGAACTTGCCTCAACCAACTTGGTTGGTTTTGTTGCATTTCACACATTACTGGTGTCTTTGGGGAGTAAGTGATTAGCCCAGCGGGGCAGGGTTTTCTCACACCCCACCCCCGAGGGTCGAGGAGTATGTTCTTTGCAAACGCTCCCCTTCCCGTGTGCTCATGCCGGTGTCGTCGGTTCCCCTCGGTGACTCTCATGAAGCCGCATGAATCTGAAATGATTATGGAAGTGGCCTGCGTGCAGTTGGGAATTTGTGCGCACAGTGCCGCGGAGAGGGAATTGTAATTTAAAATTATCCCCTGGCAGGCTCCTCCGCTCAGCTAAAATGAAGCAGATGTGTCACTGGAGCACCTGCTTCCCCTGCCGTGACAGTCCACTCGCGTGTCTGCACTCACGGTGCAGACCTGTGCGCTCAGTGTTTGTCTGGGTCTTTTTGTGCTTGGAGATGAGGAGATGAGTCGCTCTCTCCGGCCGCTGTCTGTGCCAGCTTTGTCTCTGACACCGCGATGGGCCGCCCGCCCGCCCGGTAGCACCTTACTTTTCTCCCTGCCCTTCGGCTGGCTCAGGACAGAATCAGCCCTGTTAAGGAAGTGCACTACTTCCGTGAGTGACGCCAGGGGTCCCTCCAGGGTGGTGACTCGGCTGCCTGTCAGCTGGGTTGGTGATGGCCACTGGTTGGCTGCTTTTGACACTGGTGTCAGCTGGCACAGGCCCCAGAGCCTTGCAGGCACACTTCACCCTTTCCTTCAGGTTTTCGGAAGTTAGAATATACAGGTCCTCCTTGTCCTCCTTGGTTTCTCTCAGGTGAGGGTGGGAGTAAGTCTCGAGTCTCACACACATAGGCAGTTAAAATTCTGGCTAAATTCTGAGAATTTTCAGTAACGTTTTCTCATTGGATTTGTGACTGTAAGTAGTTGTCTCTAAAGTGTCTTTTAAAAGGAATGACTATATTTTGAACCCCTCAGAGTCTTTTTGCATAAGATTTCCATAATCTTATTCTGCCAGGGAAATCCCATAAACGTATTGCCTCTCTTCCTCTGAGGTGATTAACTATGCACGAAGACGTGAGTTTGTTTTACCTTTTTTTCAGTGCCAAAGATTGGAGTTGTACCTTGCTTCTTAGTTATATTTTGAATCGTTTATAGGGACGCACGAATGAGCTTTTCAGGAGGGTGATGGCCTGGACTGCTGCCGTTGACACAGGCTGAGCGGTCGTAGCTCACCTGATAAGGCTGTTTTCTAGCCCCACACGTGGGGTGTGTGTGTGTGTCAGCATCTGTCTGCGTGGCGAGTGGCTTGAGTGCCCCGTGGCTGTCCAGGGCAGGGTGCATGGGATTAGGTGTCCCCATCCTGCGGAGCCCGGGTGTCGTATGTCAACAGCCTGAGTTGAACGGAGGCAGCTCACCCTCACGTAGGGCGGACGGACATATGTCAGGTCAGGCAGGTCTGGGAGGAGCGCTCCCCTCTCCATAAAGCGTCCTTGCTCGGGGCAGGGATATTCATCTGGGTATCACAGGAGCTTTCTTCCTTTTTCTTTTCTTCACGGGTGAACACTCGCTTCCTGGAGAAGTTAAAGGTTTACTGGGGTTCAAGTGGATTATTTACACCCTTGGTATGTAGGTTCCTTTTCGTGTGGTTAAGTGTTAGTCGTCTTTTGTTTTTCAGGTTATGGAGACAAAGGATATGCTTTACATCGTCACTGAATTTGCGAAGAACGGAGAAATGTTCGGTACGCCACGCTCGTGTGTAACAGCTGCTCGAAGCAGCGGCGCTGACCTGTCGGGACCTGCTCGCCCGCAGCTGGGTCCACACGCCTGCTGTTCTCGCCCCTCCCGCCCTGCACCCCCAGGCTCCGCATCCGGGGGTAGAGCTTGGCTTTGTCGCTTCTCAGATTACCTGACTGCCAACGGGCACTTGAGCGAGCACGAGGCGCGGAAGAAGTTCCGGCAGATCCTGTCTGCCGTGGAGTACTGCCACAGCCACCACATCGTGCACCGGGACCTCAAGACGGAGAACCTGCTGCTGGACGGCAACATGGACGTCAAGCTGGCAGGCAAGGGGGGCCGCGGGGCCGCGGGGCCGGGGACTGGCAGCTTCCGTGCACCGAAGCTTCTGGGCTGACTTTGTCTGTTTCTGTGCACTGCAGATTTTGGATTTGGGAATTTCTACAAGCCTGGAGAGCCTCTGTCGACGTGGTGTGGGAGCCCCCCATATGCAGCCCCCGAAGTCTTTGAGGGGAAGGAGTATGAAGGCCCCCAGCTGGACATCTGGGTAGGAGCCTGGGTGCCGTCCCTGCTGCCCGCGGCCACAGAGCCCAGAGGCTGCTGGGCGCTCATCCCGCTGTTGGTTGTTGACAGAGCCTCGGTGTCGTGCTGTACGTCCTCGTGTGCGGCTCTCTCCCTTTCGATGGACCCAACCTGCCGACGCTGAGGCAGCGGGTGCTGGAGGGCCGGTTCCGCATCCCCTTCTTCATGTCTCAAGGTGCGCGGCGCCGAGCCTGCCGTGGGAGCTGCTTCAGGAGCCAGGGAGGCTGGGGAGGCCCGAGGGACGGGGCTCTGCAGTGCCCGCCCGGCCGCCTGTGATGCCAGTCCAGGGCCAGGGAATCGGCCCGGCTGACTGGGCTGTAAGAGAAACCTGAGCCCCAGGGGCCTTCTCGGTGCCCTACTTAGGGGCTGGCTGGTGCCCTGCTCTGCTGGTGCCTCCTGAGAGCCCTTCTCTCATCATTAGATGCTGACCCACGGCCTGCCCTCTGGTGTGCCATGCCAGGGCGGGATGTGCGTCTGGAACCTTCAGAAGGACCAGCGCATGCCCTCCCTGGGGCTGTGCACAGAGGCATAGGCAGGGGCCACAGCCTGGGCCTTCTGCAGGCGTCGCACACGCACTGGGGTGCTGGGGCTCAGTGGGCGCCATCTCCCCTCAGACTGCGAGATGCTGATCCGCCGAATGCTGGTGGTGGACCCCGCCAAGCGCATCAGCATTGCCCAGATCTGGCAGCACCGCTGGATGCAGGCCGACCCCGCCCTCCTGCGCCAGGCCGACCCCACCCTCTCCGTGCTCAGCTATACCTCCAACCTGGGCGACTACAACGAGCAGGCACTGGGCATCATGCAGGCCCTGGGCATTGACCGGCAGAGGACCGTGGAGGTGAGCGTGGCCGGCCGCAGGGGCAGCGCGAGCAATTTAGAAGCGTGTCCTTCCCAGGAGTCGCCTAGGAATGGTCTTCACTGGGAGCCCCAAGGCTGTGGAAATGTCCCTGGGCACCACGTGACCCCCGTTTTCTCCCTAGTCACTGCAGAACAGCTGCTATAACCACTTCGCCGCCATCTACTACCTCCTGCTTGAGCGCCTCAAGGAGCATCGGGGTGCGCAGCCACTGGCCCGGCCCATCCCCACCCGGCAGCCCCGGCCCCGAAGCTTGGACCTTGGCGGTCTGGAGGTGAGGGCAGCCTCCTGCACCCAGGCCTCGCTCTGTCCGTCCCCCAGCCATGCAGCCCTTGCTCAGGCACAGGAGTGAGGCTGTGCCTGTGGGCCGGCCCTGGACATGCCCCTGGTTAGGGAGCAGACCCCAGGGCCCTGGGAGAGGAGGGTGCTGCCTGTTTCCTGCCTGTTCCTAGCGCTGGCGTCTCAGGGCCTCCTGGTCACTCCTGCATACCCACTCATGGCCGTGAAGAGGATACCCATCCTGTACCCCAGCCGGGCATCTGTCAGCACTTCTACAGTCCAGCTTGGTCTTCCGGCTGCCCCCAGCGGGCATCATAGGCACTGCCCCTGGATGATGTCTCTGCCTTTCCCTTGGCCCTAGATGCCTCAGGAAGGACTCCCTGGCGACCCTTTCCGGTCCTCCCTGCTGTGCCCACAGCCCCAGGCCTTGGCACAGTCTGTCCTGCAGGCTGAGATGGACTGCGACCTCCACAGCTCGCTACAGGTAGTGACCGTCTCCAGCAGCCTCCCCCCTCCGCAGCGCACCAGCACTTGTGGAGCCCAGGAGGTCACTGGTTTGTGTCCCTCCTGTGCAGCCCTTGTTCCTCCCGCCGGACGCCAACTGCAATGGCATATTCCCGCACCGCTCCATCTCCCCCAGCACCCTGCTAGACACGGCCATCAGCGAGGAGGCCAGGCCGGGGCCCTGCCTGGAGGAGGAGCCAGAGGCCCAGGAGCCCCTGCGTGGCACCACAGGGCGCAGGCACACGCTGGCCGAGGTCTCCACCCACTTCTCTCCGCTCACCCCTCCCTGTAAGTGTCCCCGAGGGCCAGTGCATGGGCTGAAATGTACCTTTCGGCCTCCCCGAGACTACATAGTCATACTGGGGCACGCGCGGCTCATTCTGGTGTGGGGACACCACCCTAGGTGGGGCTGGCCGCAGGCCATCTTGGGTTTGTACCCGCTGTACCTGCCACCTGCGCTTGTACCCACGGGCCGGCCTACAACAGCTCTGCGCTCTGGTAGTCTGAGCCAGCACGGGACGCCCACTGCGGGCGAGGGTCACGCCCACAGCCGTCACGTCCACCGGCACTCAGACGCCCTGCAGTCTGTCCCTCTGCACGGTGGTCAGCAGCCCTCTGGCCTCAGAAACGGGGCTTCCCTCACGGCTGCTCCTCACAGGTATCGTCGTGTCCTCCTCTGCTGCAGCGGGCACCTCGGAAGGGACCAGCTCCGACAGCTGTCTGACCTTCTCCACAGGCGAAGGCCTTGCCGGGCTCGGCAGCAGCCTGGCCACCCAGGGGCTGCTGGGCACCTGCTCCCCAGCCAGACTGGCCTCGCCTTTCCTGGGGGCACAGTCAGCCACCCCTGTGCTGCAGGCCCAGGGGGGCCTCGGTGGAGCTGTCCTGCTCCCTGTCAGCTTCCAGGAGGGACGGAGGGCATCGGACACCTCGCTGACTCAAGGTGAGGTCCCAGCCACCCACGCCGCCCCTTCCTCGCGGTAACTCTACCCCGGCAGGACGTCAGTGCTTCCGCCCCACTCTGCTGGTCCTGCTCTGGGACAGCTGGGGGGTGCCACCCGGGCTCTGGGCATCCTGATCTACTGGGGAGGACCCAAACCACAGCCCACAGGGCCAGTGACCTCGATGGGCTGGGCCATAGGAGTATTGGGATCAGGGCGGGGTCCCGCAGGGCAGCCCCACCCTCAGCTGGCTGCCTAGGCCCCCTCTACGCCAGCCCAGGGCTCAGGGTATCCGGGTGCCCTCTGCGTCCACACACGGTCCTATGTACGGCTCACACCGCCTTCTGTGAAGAATCTGTCCCAACAGCGCCTGCTCAGGGTTGGAACCATTGCCCCAACCTCAGAAGGTTGTGGCTGGTGGCCCGAGGATGGGGTGGTGTTAGAAGAGCTCCCGTGACAGTGCTGCCTGCCCTTTCAGCTGCGTGGGTGCCAATTCCGCACATGTGGCTTGTGCTGTCCCTGTGCCCTGACCCCACTGGCCCCAATCTTGCTTGTGCAGGGCTGAAGACCTTCCGGCAGCAGCTGCGGAAGGACGCACGGACCAAGGGGTTCCTGGGGCTCAACAAGATCAAGGGGCTGGCGCGCCAGATGTGCCAGGCATCCTCTAGCCGAGTGTCCAGGGCCGGTCTGAGTGCCTTCCACACTCCTGCCCCGAGCCCCAGCCTGCAGGGTGCAGGCTCCGGTGGCCGTGAGAGCAGAGGCCTGCTGGAGGAGGTGCTGCACCAGCAGAGGTAGGCCCCACAGGTCTCCTCCTCCCTGTGCCTGTGTCCCCATGGCCAGGGGCCTTGGGCTGTGGATCTCGCTTCCTTTGTGAGTGGGCAGAGGGCAGTGGTGAACAAGACCATCCTGTCGGGCAACATCTCTGAGTCGTGGCAGCATTAGCAGGGTGGTGCAGGGGTTGTCACCCGGCAATGGGCGGTGGATCTGACACGGCCTCTGTCCCGCATCTCACAGGCTGCTCCAGTTGCAGCACCAGCCAGCCGCCCCTCCCAGCTGCCCG